TTTTTGTTTCTTTCAGTCGTCTCAGCTTTGTTCCATGCATTTTGAAGGTGTTTATGTGTGATCACGTTCATGATTATTATGTCTTCTTGGTGAACTGACCTTTTAATAAATATATTCTGTCCTTTTTTCTCCCTGCAAAGTTTCTTTACTCTGAGTTCCACTTTGTCTAATATTAATACAGTCATGCTAGTTTTCTTCTGACTAGCATATTTGCATGGTCATCTCTTTTCCTGGAGGTTTAACCTATCTGATATCTTTTTTTTGAAGTAATTTTCTTATACTGAAGATATATTTGGCTCAGTAATTTTAAAAAATCCTTTGTGATCACCTTTGTTTGCTCAGGCTATATGCATTTAATGTAAGTACTGATATATTTGCATTTAGGTCTACCATTGAATTATTTTTGTGTTTGTTTGTTTCCCTTTCAATTAAACACATTTTATCATTCCATTTTATTTCATCTCTGGCTTTTTATTAAACATCTTTTTTGCATAGTTCTTTCCATGGTTGGTTGAGGGATTTGAATATACTTGAGTTTTCAGTCTACTTAAAATTAATTTCACCACTTCCAGTGGAAAGGAGGAAAGTATTATATAGTCTCTTTGCCTACCTCCTTTATGTTTTATTTTGAGATCATGTCTTCCTGTGTTACCCAGGGTGACCTTGAACTCCTGGGCTCAAGTGATCCTTCTACCTCAGCCCCACCAGAATAGCTGGGATGAATGTCCTCAACATATTTTAAGAACTCAAGAACTAAATCTATTTTCAACCCAGATAATTACCATTTCTGTTGTTATTCCTTTATTCCAGTTTTTCTGTGGAAAAACTCCCTGTAATAATTTGTTTTAGGTAATGTCTCCTGATAATGACTTATCTGTTTTCTTTGATCCATATTTGGCTCTATTTAATTTTTATTCCTGAAGGCTGGTTTCACCGGATATAGAAAGAAGCCCGAGTCAACAGTTCTCTCAGCATTTTAGAAATGTGCTACTTCTTTTTTGCCTTCATGATTTCTGCTAAGAAATCCAGTCATTCAGATCATTGATTCCCTATAGGTAATAAGTTATTTTATCTGGATGCTTTCTGTATCACGTTAGTTTTCCCCAGTTTCATTATCATGTATCTGGGTGTGGACAGGAACTTGAGTACAAAGGTTTCTCACAAAATTTGCAAAGTTTCTAGTTAATATTTCTTCAATTTTTTTTCAGCACTACATTTTCTCCTCTTTTTGAAACCCTGATGGTGTAATTTTAGATCTTTTATTACTGTCCCACAGGTCTCCAAAGCTCTGTTCAAAAAAATCATGGTTATTTTTTCCCCCAATCTTTTTCTCTCTTCAGATTAGGTAAGTTGTACTGGTTTATCTTACTTTTCACGGACTTTCCTCCATTCTGAGACCAGTTAGTGAGCTTTAAATTTTGGTTGTTGTGTTTTTCAAAATTTCCACTTGGATATTTTTTTGTATCTTTTCTTTGCTGAAATTATGTAAACCCCCCCCCATCCCTCTGGTTTTAAATTTTCATGATTACTTGCTGGAGCACGTGTGTGTGTGTGTGTGTGTGTGTGTGTGTGTATTTTTTAAATTATAGATGGACACAATATCTTTATTTTGTTTTTATTTATTTATTTACTTATTTATTTTTATGTGGTGCTGCGGATTGAACCCAGTGCCTCATTCATTCGAGACAAGCGCTCTATTGCTAAGCTACAAACCCAGCCCTTGCTGGAACACTTTTTAAATAGCTGCTTTAATGACTTTATCATATCATATCAACATCTGTGACATCTCAGTGCTGGCATCTGTTGTCTTTTCCCATAACAGTTGAGATCTTCCCATTTCCTGGTGTCCTGAGTAATTTTGGATTATATTCCAAGATTTTGAATAATGTTATTAAGCTCTGGATCTTGTTTAAATCCTGTAAAGAATATTGAATTTCAGTTTGATTCTGAAGGCACCCTGGCTAGGTTCCAGCTCAATCTACCTTATATGGGCTGTGATTCCAGAATCAGTTAAACTTTTGAAACTTTGGCAAGGCTATTTGGGCCTATTCCATGTGAATATCTCCCAATTTCTAGCCTGGGATCTGAGTGGTGGTCTTCTTGAGCGCAGCTCTTCAAGTCTTTGGTATACTGCATGAGATAAGATCCATGAGTAGTTTTGGGGGCGGGGTGAACTGAAGAGTTCATAAACAACTTAATGGGATCAATTTTCTGTGGCAGAGTTCCTTCCTCTCTGTAATCTTCCCAATACTTCCTGGTTCCTTTTATTTGTTCTTTGGCAAAAAGACTGAGGCTGTGTACTTTTGCCACTGTGTTTGCGTCCAAGGCCACATGGATGGAGGACAGAGAGGAAAAACAACGGGGACTGGCTTTACTATGTTCCAGACACTGTGCTAAAAATCTTAAAATGGATCATACCATTTAATCCTCTCAGAAACATAACTATACTGAAGAAGGGGTCCTTGGTCTCAGAGCTGGCTCTTGTAGATTCCCACTGCCAATAGTCAACAGTGTCACTACCACTGGACTTTATGGAAGACGGGATGTAAAAAACAGAAAGGAAAATGAAACAAAAGGGTTTCTGCACTCTCTTTGAATATTAGAATTTCCCTTTCTACTCCTTGAGCCAGATCTAGAGAGCTCCTGGCACTCTCTGAATGCTAGTTTCCAATGTGCTGAGTTCAAGCTGCAGGACAGCAGAGGGGGGGAAATGGAAGACTTGCCACTGTGTCAGTATTACTTCAAATTCTTGTCTTCCCCAATCTACCTGCTACTATTTTCTTTCCAGAGATAGCTTATGCATTAACAGCAGGAGACCTACAGTAGGACACACTTACTCCATCTTTATCTGGAACCAGCCCAACTAGTACTTACCAACTAATACTTATGAGAAATGTGGATATGGCAGCACATGCCTGTAATCCTAGGTACTCAGGAGGCTGAAGCAGGAAGATCATAAATTTGAAGTCAGCCTGCGCAACTTAGCAAGACCCTGTCTCAGAACAAAAATAAAATGGGCAAAGGATCATGGGCAGAGTGCTTGCCTAGCATGTGTGAGGCCCTAGGTTGAACCACCATCACTAAAACAAAACAGAACAAAAAGAGCAAAAATTCTCATGAGAAAACTTAAAGAGCTGGTTACTTATACTTTTTCTTCTCCTCCTCAAAAATAATCATCCTAATAATAATTATAGTAGTACAGTTTATTGTTCTTTACTGTGTTCTAGACACTGTGCTAAAAATCTTAAAATGGATCATGCCATTTAATCCTCATAAAGACCAATGAGGAAGGTTCTGTTGTTAGCTCAATTTCCAAAGAAGAAAGTAAAGACTTAGAGAAGTATCCTGTGTGGAACAGAGTTAGGAGCCAGCAGAGCCAATATTGCAACTTGGGCAGTGTAACTTTAAACCTCTGCTCTTGAACATCTATAAGCTGCAACTAGTCCCTCCCTTTCAGGTCTGTCTCTATAAAGTAGTGTTAAAGTGAAAAATTGTAAATGAGAAGGAAAAAAGCCAAACCCCATCATTGCCCCATTAATTCTGAGGGAAAAGACTGGAAATCTAAAAACCTCTATATTAGTTGATGCTACTTTTCTAATTCAGGAGAATAATCCAACCATCAACATACAGTTTTAAAAAGTCATGTAATAAAAAAGTGCTGAGAAAAATAACAAAAAATGCTTTCAGTATCATTAGAGGCTTACTTTAGACTAAGTGAATACAGTATACTCTAGTCAAGAAATCAATAATTTTTGAGAAGTTAAAAACTTCAACCAAAACAACATAAATCTATGTAATGCTTTTTATTTACTGACCTCTAAAACAATCCAAAATTCTTATGGCTAATGGAACCTTCCAAACTAAAATGTTGTTCAACATGACAAATTACTACAAAAATATATGTATTTTAACATAGTGCCTTCACTTCACCCAAGGAATCAACATAAGAACATTACATTTAGATAGTAAACTCAAATTACAAATATAAATATGAAATAATGTCATATTTCTGGTTTACTAGAAAACATATAACAGCATGACAATATGTTTAACAGCTTAGGTAAGAAAATGGGCAGGGGTATCATGGAAGTATGCAAATGTTTAACAATTCATATAATCCTTAGCCCTTCTGAGAAATATTTCTCATGGGAAATATGTAGCAAATATTCTGTAATACAGTGGTTCCAGTCCATTATAGTGATCATTATTCTGATCATGTATTCAAATAACTGCTGTTGTTTTTATCAGTCATTCACTGCTTAACAAGCTGATACTGATACTATAAATCCCCTATGTAGTTTAATTGGGCACAGCGGTGCATGCCTATAATCCCAGTGACTCAGGAGGCTGAGGCAGGAGGACTACAAGTTCAAAGTCAGTCTCAGCAACTGAGCGACACTCTAAGCAACTTAGTGAGATTCTATCTCAAAATAAAACATAAAAAGAGGACTGGGGATGTGGCTCAGTGGTTAAGTACCCTTGGGTTCAATCCTTATTAGCAAAAAAAAAAAAAAAAAAAAAAGTAGTTTAAATTGGAAAAGCTTAAAGAATATGTTATTCTTAACAACTTTTAGATATAACTGAGACTACACTACTGGACATAATCAGCCATACTATTTTGTATAGTTAATTCCAGTTACTATAAGTTTATTGGTTATTAACAACACAAATTTTATGTTCCAAAAGAAATATAATGATCCAGCACAATGGTTACATTTAATTTTCTCTTAAAGACAGACAAACTAAATTTAAGGAAGAACTGGCTTTTTTTGGTATTTCATTTTAAATTACTAATATAAATTTACCCAGAGAAATAATTGTATATTTTGGCCAACATCAAATAATCTGCAAAAAGTTTCTGAGACAGATGCATTTCTTATTTAATTTTCAAAGATAAATAATGGCTTTCTAACAGAAAGCATTTATATTCCTAGCTCTCTAAAGTAAACATTAAAAATAAAGTACAAAAAAAAAAAAAGATCTCTCAGCTTTTGAATAGCTCACTTAGTTACATAAAGTATTTTTTGTCAACACTTCCTCAAATTCAAAAGATATTTACTTCCTAAGAACATGACAAAAAGAGTCTTCATTTCAAACCAGTCAGTCCGTTTCCATGGCAACACTGCGGGATTCCTTGGCTACCATAAGTCGCATTAGTTGACTGTGGAATTTCTCAATCTTCTTTACATCTTGAGCTTGATCTGTTCTATACACCAAACACTGTCAGAAATTTTAAAATTATACATTAACTAAGTAAAACCAGATTCTGGCACTGTGAAAACAGTAATTAGGAAAAACTCTGAGAGTCCTTCCTACTATTGTTTTGCTCTATTTTCTCTAAAGTCAAAGGACAAACTGCACTCAAGTTCACAAGCTTCCAGCAATTACATTCCTGAAGAATGGTTTTTTTTTTTTTTTTTTTTTTTTTTGTACAGGGGATTGGACCCAGGGTCACTTTACTACTGAGAAACATTCCACAGCCCTTTTTATTTTTTATTTTGAGACTGAATTTTGCTAGGTTGCTTAGACCTTGCTAAATTGCTGGGCAGGCATCAAACTAGTGATCCTCCTGTCTTAGCCTTCCAAGTCAGCGGGACTTCAGGAATGTACCACCATATCTGGCTTTAGGAATGGCATTTTGAATACCACTTCTGAGGATTCAAAATTATTCAATATCTACTAGAAACTTCTAAAAAATGATCAGTTAGTAATGTATTAAATCCTGTTGTGGGCTGATGAGAAGAATTCAAGGACTTAAATTAGATATTCTCTCCTGGAACACAGTCACTAATAACTGAGTTACAGTGGAAAAAAAAGCCAAAAAAAATCTTAGGATCCTGTTCCCTATCTGTGAAATTATGGGTTTAACAATATTTTTCTTCAAAGTCTAGAATTCCCTGCTTCTAGCTGGTGCATAATTAAATCAAACCAACTAAGTCTGTCCAATCTTGATTTTCTGAAGGTATTTATTATAATTTTTAAACCAACCTAAAACCTTAGATATGCTTATAGTTAGTCATAAAACCATTTGTTCTAAAATCTTCAAACATATCAACTTTGAGCTGGCAGCCTTTTCTCATTTTGTAATTAAGTCCATTTTTCTTTAACCCACCTAGAGGTCCACATGAGTTTTATACAACAGAAACTAATGATCCTATAATAAGTCATTAACTTAAATAGCTTGGAAATTCAACCCCACCATGCCCAACTGATCTGAATTCATGTAGTCTTTAAAGAACTCACTTAAAAAAAAAATTAGGGCTGGGGATGTAGCTCAAGTGGCTCATCTGGCATGCGCAAGGCACTGGGTTCAATCCTCAGCACCACATAAAAATAAAAATAAAGATATTGTGTCCACCTAAAACTAAAAAAAAAAAAAAAATTAATTAAAAAAATTACCCACACACTGTACAAATTTGTATGGAAACCTTGTAATAAGGCCATACTAAGGCAGACATGGTGGTACATACCTACCTTAAACCCAGAAACTTGGGAGGCTATAAAGCAAAGGATCCTAAGTGTGAGGTTAGCCTCAGCTAACCCTTGTCTCAAAATAAAAAGCCCTTGTCTCAAAATAAAAAGGACTGGGAATATATAGCTCAATGATAAAACACCCTGGGGTTCAATACCCAGTGCCCAAGAAAGAGAAAACTATAAATCATTTGGGGGATTAGGGGGAAAAAATGATACATACATGCAATCATAAAAAATATCAAAGCTATGTGGTGATAATGATGAATAAAGTTTAAGACCACGTTTTCTGATGGAATTATTAGCTTTTAAAATTAGTGAAGGCAGTATACAAACTTTTTTCAATCCCTTCTGGATATTTCTAGATATGGTTTAATTCTTAGTAGTTTTAGGAAATGGAATAAAAAAAATGCCAAATAAATTATTTCTGATATTGCTTAACATGGATCCTTAAATTACAAGGGGCAAAAAAGCTATTACTTGGAGATAAAGACTTTTTTTTTTTTAAATTCACTTCTCCTTATCTATTTCTTTTTTTTTTTCTTTTTCTTTGTGTGTGTGTGTGTGTGTATATGTTGCTGGGGATTGAACCCAGGGTCTTGTGCATGCTAAGCAAGCACTCTACCAACTGAGCTATATCCCCAGCCCTTCTTTTCTATTTCTAAATGTCAGAGTTCTCGGTCAGACTTGAAAAAACTTTTAAACAAGTCCTTGGCAACCTCCAAATTATTCTTGGTGACTTTGATATCCCTCTGGCCAAAACTGAGACCAGAGGGGCACACATACAAAAAAATCACCTTGAGATAAAGCCTTTGTATTAAAATTTATTCTGCATTTCCCCTCCCCGTTTTTAAAACAAGGCATATCTGTTTCTCTTCAGCAGGTATATCTTAACCACTCTGGGACAATCACAATAAAACTTTTTCTCAATGTGGAATGCTCAAGATTCAAGAATACATTTATTTAATCTAACAAGTCACAAGCACTAATGCTAGATACTTTCACATATTTTGTTTGCTTTCCACAACATCACAATCAGGTAAACAGACTATTATTAAATGGTTAAGCTAGGATTCAGACCTCTTGAATCATCTCAATTTTTTCTTCCTTTTCCACATTTTTAGTTACTCCACCAGATTCAACTGGTCCTTAGGAAACATGGTAATCATTAAAAGTTCTGACTTCATGCAACCTCATAATGGAACCCCAGACACAAATATGATATATGACCAAAAGTGATTTTTTAGAAGAATTAAYCTATTTTTTAAAATGTTTACTGAGTACTCTCTGGATCAAGATAGACTAAGGGTAAGAATACAGGTAAGAATATTACTCATCTACCTCTATTATCTTGAAGCAATAAGTCTATTTTTAAAAAATTTTTTAGTTGTTGATGGACCTTTATTTTATTCATTTATTTATGTGTGGTACTGAGAATTGAACCCAGTGCCTCACACACATGAGGCAAGTCCTCTACTACTGAGCCACAACCCCAGCCCAGCAATAAGTCTATTAAAAAGATAACTGTGATACAGCACAAGAGAAATCAAAAAGAAATGAAACAATTCTCATGAGTATGGTTTTGAAAGATGATCAGTCTTCCCACATTGGGAATGGGGGTGGGATTCAATATTGCAAAGGAAGAAACAAAATGTTCAAAAGCAGAGGCTTAACCACAGTATGTTAAAGGAGCTCTTAAGTAACATAGAAAACAGAGAATAGGGGAATATGAAATTAAAGAAAGAAAGATGTGGCAGCAATAAAGAGTGAACAAAAGAAGAAAGGGTATAGTTGGAAGTCTATTCTAACAGGCCAGACAAGAGATAAAATCCTAAACATAAAGAGAGTAAGTGCAAAGACAGGAAAAATGAGGAAGGAGCTCTTGAATCAATAACTCCAAATGCCTAGCAAAGTGTGTGTGATTTATGAGGAGATCAAAACAGGTTTCAAATAAACAATGAGTGGACAGGAGAATGAGGGAAATGATCCCAAGGTTTCTGACCAGGTGGATGGCAATGCAACTCAAGTAAGAAGAGAAGGAGCCAGACAGAAAAGAGCTGATAAGCTCCACTCTGGAGGGACTTACTTTGAATAGTATTTGAGGCAAAGATACTTAAGAGTTAAATCAGGACATCAGAAAAAAAAAAATGGGAACTAAACACGCAAACTTGCAAGGAGACACAGATATAAGCAGTATTGGACTCAACTGAAGGAATTGCTCCAGATGTCATGATATGAAAAAGACAACAAAGGAGAGAATTCTAGGGAAACAAATATTTATGGAGACACAGCAAAGAAATAATTATCAAAGAATGAGACAGAAACAAAGAAAACCAAGATAAAATTTAGCCACATGTGTCAAAATAATAATTTCCATGAGAGAGCAGTCTTTGTATCAAAATGATCAAGGATCAAACAAAATATGAAGTGATGAGACTACTGGGTTTGAAAAAAAGATGCTGCTCATGAGCTCTCACCAAGAGCAGTATGAGTGGTACAACCCATATGACAGAGGGCCAAAGAAGGAATGGGATGTGAGGAAGTAAGAAGAGTGAGCACATCAAGAAAGAAGAGAGATACAATAACAAAAGTCTATAACTTGTGTTCAAATACATTGTTTACTACTACTTGTTTTATTTTTTGTGGTGCTGTGGACTGAACCCAGGGCCTCATGCAGGTGAGGCAAGTGCTCTAGCACTGACCTATATACCCAGCCCCGTTGTTTATTTCTCTCACAAACAAAAATGAAACCTTTCCTCTCCTATATTCAATTTTGGTCTCTATGTTTCTTTTGCTTAAGGTCCAGAGAAAGCAACTGTTAAGCCACACCTGACAAGCTGCAATGATGAGGCAAGTAAAATTATTTCTTGCATGTCTATAAAAGTAGCTTCCAGAATGAGGCTCATCATTTTGGAATAAAAGGCAAAAGAAGCATCCTAATGGGTAATCTGCATAAATTATATATAAATAATTTCAAGTGATAAACTCAAAAAAATCTGAAAGTATGCAACAAATAAAAATGTATACTTACAACTAAATCATCTGTTACTTTAATACACAGACTCCCATCAGAATGCCTATATTTGAGAACGACACGTGCCTGAAATAAAAACACATATTTAGAAATAGTAAAGACAGATGTCATTTCTCTAAATAATTTAGTCTTCAGGTAGGCTGAAAGGATCCTTTTAGAATAAACACCCAAAACATCTAAAGGCATCTTTATTGTAGTCTTGTCATTTCTGAAATTATAAGTTTCAAAAAAAGAAGTCATTTTAGTTCATTCCTTGTGCTACACTTTAAATACTTAAAAGGTGGGAGGGCTGGGGCTGTAGCTCAGTGGTAGAGCGCTTGCCTTGCACATGTGAGGCATTGGGTTCAATCCTCAACACCACTTTAAAGAAAACTCCCAAAACATATTCATACTCAGGAAATGTCTGAGAGACTATAAGATAGTTTGGCTTTTTTTCCCAGTGAGAATATATGCCAGCATACCTAGTCATGGAGAAATAACAGGAAAAGGAAAACAAATAAGCAGAAATGGCTGGTTAATAAGTCCAATTATAGTGCTGGAGATATAGCTCAGTGGTAGAGCACTTGCCTAGTATGCCTGAAGCCCTGGGTTTAATCCCCACCACCACAAAAATAAAAACAAACAAAAAGCTCAAATTCATTTTTCAGGGAAACAGTGCTTCAGTGCTGGACAGAGTTTCTATCCTTCCATGGCCGTCAGAAGGCAGATTCAAAAAGAAGTCTCTTAGCAACAACTTTTCCAAAAACCTACACTGATGTTGTTCAGTATTCTAGTTAAGTAGCCAAGATATTGTTCAGATATTAGAATATAATAAGACAATATCCAGTAACTTCCAGATTCTGTGAACTTTTTTTTTGTTCTTTTACTGATGGATGCAAGCAAGCATAATCAGCAGTTTTTTTTTTTTTTTTTTTTTGCAATACAATACCAGTAACTCTTGCTTAGCTAGCTGTTTCAAAAACTGCTAAGAATCTACAAGCCAAAACAGGAATATAGTTTTAAAATGCTTACAATGTAGCACAAAAAGTGTCAAAACAATTCTGGAAACTAAAAAGGGCTAATAACACAATTATAACCTACAACTTTTCCCATTATGTTCTCTGTACTTCTGGGATTGCAAAAAAAAAAAAAGTTACATCTCTTGGAGATGTGTCTTGATAAGGGAAAAGGAACTCACTCGCATTTAAGTAGAGAGAAATAATAACCAGAATGTTTGTGAAATATTTACTGAACTATTAAACTTATTTTTAAAAATTTAATTTAAAAACAAAAGAAACCAAAATTTAAAAATATACTAAGCATGACAACTATATAAAGTTTTAACTCTCAGTTAAGAGAATACTCACTGGTTTCACTAGAAGAAATGAGAGTTAAAGGGCATATGGTTCTGTAAGATAGAGTTCCGTTTTGTAGCTTAAGGGGCACCTGAGCCACTGTGTTACGCACGTGCCAGAAAAGGAGAGGAAAAAAGTCAAGATTTTGCCCTCTTAGGAACTTTGAATTCAACCAACCAAAATAACCAAAACATAAAACAGAATTAATTAAGCCTATAAAGGCATACATAGGTAAACTACTAAAAAGAGAAAACAATTTACACTGGGAGAAGGGAAAGAATCACTTCTTTTAGGAGCTATCCTTGAAAATGTGTTATAGTTTAGATATGAGATGCCTCCCAAAAAGCTCACTTAATGCAGGAACATTCAGAGGTGAAATAATTAGGTTATGAGAATTATCACCTAATAAGGAAATTAGTCCATTTACTGGATTAATAATTTCAATGGATTACTGGGTGGTAACTGTAGCAGGCGGGATGAGGCTGGAGTAAGGAGGTCACTGGGGGTACACCTTGGAAATTATATTTTGTCCCTGGCTTCTCACTCTCTGCTCTGCTTCCAGGCTGCCCTGAGCTAAGCAGCTTTTTTCACCACACCTTTCTTCAGTATCACTTCAGGCCCAAAGCAATGGAGTCAACTAACCATGGACGGAGATCTCTGCATCAGCAAGTCAAAATAAACCTTTCCTTGTCTAATTTGTTCTTGTCAGGTATTTTGGTCAGAGTGACAAAAAGTTGACTAAAAGAAAAATGCATTTTTCCCCCCTCTAAGAAAGAAGGTTGGAGAAAGGATAAGTATTCTGAATAATGATCTGATGAATTCTGTAGTTTCACTGAGTCTATAGTTGAAGATGGTGGAAATGGGGGTAAACAATGCCTGACTGGAAAGAGGGTCAGACAGAGACTGAGAGTTGGGACTTTATTCATTAATCAATGAAGTTTTTAAAGCAGGGAACAATTCAATTTTTGGTTTTTAGACAGGTGTAGAAGGTGTAAAGGAGAGACTAAAAAGGGCAGACAGAGTAGCTAAGAAGTTATTATACAGTCTATCAGTAATACCATTTTCAATTAGAGCTATGTTGAGAGTGGTAAAAGATGACAGATACAATCATCAACCTAAATATGCTGGTATGAGAGGACAGAGATTTTGGAAAATAGACTTCAGAGTCCTGAAAAAAAAACTTTCTTTCTTTTTCTTTTAGTCCCAGGAATTGAACCCAGAAGCACTTAACCACTGAGCCACATCTTCAAACCTTTTTTTTTAATTTACTTTTTTTGTGGTGCTGGGGATTGAACTCAGGACCTTGTGCATGCAAGTCAAGCACTCTACCAACTGAGCTATATCCCCAGCCCTTTTTATTTTTTGAGACAGTCTCCCTAAGTTGCTGAGGCTGACTTTGAACTTGTGATCCTCTTGAATCAGCATTCTAAGTCACTGGGATAACAGGGGTGTGCCACTGCACCTGGCCAAAATGTTTTCTTTATCCCTGGTAAGAGCAGAATGGACTTGGAGTTCAGAGCCTAAATCTGTATTTCAGCTTAATCTCTTAGATATTAGGCAAACAATTTATGGAATCTAAGACTGTTTATTTATCCACCTCAATGGGTTGCTATTATGGTTTGGATCTTGAATGTTTCCCCAGAAGCTCATGTTGTGGGCAATGCAGCAATGATGATTCATGAGGGCTCTGACCTCATCAGTAGACTCATCCATTTGATGGATTAATAATCTGAATGGCCTTCTAGGTGCTAACTATATGCAGGGAGGGCACAGCTAGAGGAAGTGGGTCACTGGGAGCATGACCTTAGGGGCTATATCTGTCCCTGGCCTCTTCTCTGTTTCCTGGTTGCCCTGAGCTAAGAAGCTCTCTTCCACCACACCATTGGCATGATCTTCTGCCTCACTCAGAGAAATGGCATCGGCCTACCATGGACCTCTGAACCTATGAGTCCAAAATAGACTTTCCCTCTTCTAAATTGCTTTTGTTAAGTATTATGGACACAAATGACTCAAAGCTAACTAACACAGTTGCTGCAGTTGTTCAAATAAATTATACATACACATTCCAATTATACATTCTGCTGTTTTTGTTTTTTCTTTTGAACCCCAGGCTTCATGCTTACCAGGCAAGCACTCTCCACTAAACCACATCTCTAGCCCTAAACTATACATATATGAAAGATGCCTGTCACATAGAATGCACTCAATAAAACTCTTATCATCCTCTTTTCAACCTCTCCATCCAAAAACTAGTTAAAAGGCAGTAGAAAGCCATCCTGAGGATGCAGGAGTTTTTAGGCCACTGAAATTATTCAGCTGGGTGAAGAACTGAAAGGTTCTCCCTCTTGTCTAGTCTAGAAATGCTTTTGTTCACAGTGATGTTCTCCAATTACTATTTTAATTTTCATTTGCCCTATAACTACTGCCACATTCTTGAAATATAGCCCCTCTTGAGGTGACTCTGTATATTCTTTACTGTCTTTACAAATATTTTTTGAAAATATTTGAATATTTTGATTCAAAATATTTGAATATTTATATATTCAAATATAAAAATATTTGAATATATAAATCTGTGGGTGCTTTTGGACAAAAATCTTATACTATCTCATGGTATATAGATTGACTGAAGAAACAAATGACCCTGTAACCAGGGGAAAGGAAAACCACCAAATGGAACAGTCAGCACTCACTAGTGTCACAAGTAAGTACTTGATTTTAAAAATATCTAATTCACTTCATTATGTATTATATCACTTTATGAAGAACCTTAATATTTTACAAATGAAACTAATAAAGTATTGTTAATTCAGTTTAAAAATGGCACTGAAAATGTTTTAGTAATTTGGTTATTTAGGTCTTTCCATGGGTCTAATACTATTTTTAATTGTAGTATCAACACGTTTTGCTGCCCCATTTAAATGATGCTCAATATAAACAACATGTGGCGTGGGAGTTACAGGTTACCAGCCCAAAATATACCTTTAAAACACAGTTCATATTATTTACTGATCAATGAAAATCTCAGTAAAATCTGAGCCCCGTTTCTTGAGAGTAACCGCTTTTCTTTTTCTTTCTTCTCCAAAGGATATATTCACATTTATCCATAGTACCTTCCAAAAATACCAGCTCCTTAAGGGATAGGCTGCATCTTCCCTTTGTGTTTCCCACAGAAGTAAATCTGGCATGGTGAGGTGGGGAATGAAACCTTTTGCAAACATTTATGCATAAGTGCGTGTTCCTGGAACAGGGTGCAAACATCCTCAAAAAAGGTCACGGACCCTCAAAACATTAAGAACGCCCTTTGGGCAGGGACATATCTCTTCCAAACAGATTTCTTTAAAGAAAGCCTGGGCTGTCAAAAGAATTAACATCCCTGTTTTATATATCCGAGGAACATTTATTTACATGTTGGTGGTAGGGGAAACGGGCACCAAGACACCTAACGGACAGGAATCCGGAGCTGCAGAGGGAGGAGCCCTGGCCTTAGAGACACGTAAATCAAAGCCATAGAGGAAGTTCAGGGACTGGAAGCGTCTGTACTGACGGTTACGAACGAAACGATCCTAACTGATGATCAGGACCTCACTGGGCCACTCGAGTCGGGGATAGGGAGAGGACAGCAGGTACAATTAGATTTGGCGGGGTCCATCTCGGCTCCCTCCCACCACCTCCTGGAAATACTAAAGAAACCCCTGAGCTTGAGCGGACGGCAGGGAAGACATCCTGATCCCGGGTCGGGACCCGAAGCAGAGGCCCCACTATTTACCTTCATAGGGTCAGCGAGGTAGAGCTTTTCGGCCGCACGGCTAAACTCCTCCCAGGTCTGGTACTGCGGCATCGTGGCCTGGGATGGAATGGGAATGAGAAGCAAGCCTAAGGGACCGGAGGCGGCACTGCCTGGCCCACCTACCTACCTACAACCTGCGGTAGCCGACCAACGTAGGAGTCCCAGACGCTCAAAGATGGTGGTGCCTCCTCGCACCAACGCCTTGCTCCGTTGGATAGCTCCGACCGCGCTCGTCCAATGGGCAAGAGGGATGTTACAAGGGAGGGGGCGGAGCCCCCAGCGTGTAGCCCAAGGAAGTCAAGAGCAGGCCGACGGATGGCGTTTGCCACAGCGCCTCCTGCAGGAGTGGAGGGGCAGCCTCTCTCCGGTTGCCCCCTGGGTTGGACTGCAATAATGAAGCCCAGGTTCCTTTAACAAAGATTGATCAGCCGCTCAATCACAAAGATTGTGATAGGAGCGGAGATATAAGCATGAAATGACAAGGTCCAGCCATCACACACATAGTCTGGTGAAGGAAGGGAGACACATAACAGGAGTGAAACCAAAAACTTTCTATGGTAAATATTTATTTAGGGCCAGTGCAGCGAGCCCAAAAGAATGGTAATTTGGGGGTGGGGAATAAGCTCACAGAGGCTGACACAAGTTGAACTGGCAGGCAAGGAAGAGGCCCATTGTAGATCTGCAGTGAACTATTAATATAAAAGGTGTTTAGGGGACGTGAGAAGAGTAGAAAGGAGAAGAGCCATATCATTGAATATGCTAGGATATGAAATTTGAATTTTGTCCATCAGGCCATTGGTGCCATAGAAGGGTACCTTTTACAAATAAAGTTTATTGAGGTATATTTTACATATAATAAAACGCACCAATTTTAAGTGTACAGTTTCATGCATTTTGACAAATGTATATACCCATTGGATATATACCCACATACCTAAATACCACAATCAAGATATAGAACATTTTTCATCTCCAGAAATTTCCCTCATGCTTCCTTATATTCAGTTCTCAAACTTTCACTCCTATTCTTATGGATATGCTTTAAACATATTTTTTTTTTAATTCTTTTGGTACTGGGGATTGAACCCAGGGGCACTTCACCACTGAGCTACATCCCCAGCCCTTTTTATTTATTTATTTTTATTTTGAGAAAGGATCTTTCTAAGTTGTTGAGAGCCTTGCTAAGTCCTGAGGCTGGCTTAGAACTTGAAATCATCTTTCTCAGGCTCTGGAGTCACTGGGATTACAGGTGTGTGCCATCCTATCCAGCACAGATATACTTTCTGCTACTATAGATTAGTACTTTTTGTCCTTTGAAAGGCTTTAAACAGATTCCGCCCCCCTTATTTTTATTAATTTTCTTCCTCTTTTTCCTTCTTCTCTTCCTCCTCCCCCGTTCCTATCTTGCTATATTACCCAGGCTAACACTCAAGCATTCTTCCTGCTTCTGACCATATTTGCATTTTACAGGGCTGCAGCTGCATGTTAAGACTGATTGAAAGCTGCATGCACTTGTGCAGGCCTGTAATCACAGTGGCTCCAGAGATTGAGGAAGGAGGATCGAGAGTTCAAAGCCAGCTTCAGCAACTTAGCAAGGCCCTAAGCAGCTTAGCAAGACCCTGTCTCTAAATAAAAAGAATAAAAAATGGGCTGGGGATGTTGCTCAGTGGTTAAGCACCCCTGGGTTAAATTCCCAGTACCAAAAAATAAAAAGACTGAATTGAAGTGGTACAAGCCCGGAGGCAGGGACACCTCGTAAGATGCTGCAGGGGCTGAGGATATAGCTCCAGTTGGTAGAATGCTTGCCTCGCATGCACAAGGCCCTGAGTTTGATCTCTAGCACAGAAAGAAAAGAAAAGAGAGAGGAAAGATGCTATTGCATAATAAAGGCATGAGAGACTATGGGATATGGATCTGAATTAAGGCACTAGTTTAGGAATGGAGAGTTACAGATTTGAGATTCACTTGGTCAATGATTGGATGAGGGGTATGAGGGAAAGAAAGGAGTAGAGAATGACTCTTAGGTCAGTGGAGGAGGTTTTACCATTGACTGATGTAGGGGGAAAGGAATAACAGGTTTAGGAAATATCAGGGAAGACAGTGATTAATTTCTAGACTTGATAAGCATGAAGTTTCTTTGTGACATTCAGGTGGAGATGTGGAGATGGCTGGTAGCTGAGCTGAGCCTCTCTACATGAAAATCCAGGAGAGATTTGATATAGAAGTCATCAGCAGATAGGTCTGAGTTGAGTTTTCTCAGGGAGAAGATATACAGTAAGAAGACAAACTCTGGGTAATGATTATATGGACAAAGATTTAGAGAGAAGAAATAGAGTCCACCAAAGAGGAGGGGATTATCAAGGAGGTAAAAGGAGATTGAGAGTGAGAGGTGATGAGGGTTCTGGAAAGGGAGTGATCAGTTGTATCAGATGGAAGAGTGTAAGTCCAATGAGAACCAAAATGAATCAACTGCTTCTAGTTATTGGAGGTCTATGGTGACTTTGTGCCAAAGAAGCCTCAGTAGACTAGAATTCAGGGTGGAACTCACTGCAGGAGGCTGAAAAGGTAGGAAAGTGATGGAAGCTGCTTTATTCTGTTCCCTATAAATGCATTATTGTGATCAGAGGGAAACACCAGGTTAAAAAAAATGTTGTGTTTTAAGATGGAAAGATTCTGTGAATGTTTGTAATTTTCAGAGAAGTATGCAGAAGAGATGGAGAAATTGAGGAAATCAAGATCTGAAGGAGAAAGGTAAAGAGAAGATCGAAGGCACAGAGAAGTGAAAAGAGAAGGTTCACCATTGCCTTTGAAGTAGTGGGGAAGGAGAAAAAGAGGAGTGAGAGTCTAAGTGAATGTGTAGATACAGGGGCAAGAAGGTATATTTTCTTTTTCACCTAAAAGGCATCTTCTGAGATAGGAGAGCAAGAGTGGGTTTAGGAGAATATTTGGAAAATCCATCGTGAAGAATGAGTAAGGAAGTCAACAAAACCCTTAAAAGCAGTCTGTTAAGCAGAGCCGAAAGCCCTGCTGGTATTGGAAGTTACACTCTGGGTATATCCCTACCTGGAGTCTGTCTCCAGCACCACCCAAAATGAAAATGGCAGTTATAGGTCAGGCAGAAGGACCAAGGGACAAAAATGTTGGCAGTACTGGAAAGAGAATGTTTGAAGTGATAAAATTCATGGGATGCAGGTGAGATAAGTGGTAATTAAATCAAAAGAGAAAAGTTAAGGGTTCAGAATTTCAAGGAAATTTGAAGTCAATATAAGAAAAAGGAACTAAAGAGATAGATTGAATGTGAGGTTTTAACCTTTCAGAGGAGCAATGGTTCCTGGTGAGGCCAGTTGGGTCATCTAAACTCACTTGTGAATAAGAAAGGGAATAAGATGAAGAAGAAGAAGTCTATGAGCCAAGGGCTCAAGTCCTCAGTTATGAGAATAAGGTGTGTGTGGGTGGGTGTAGGGGTTGGCATGTGAGGTGGGGATGTGGGAGCCATAAAGAACAGAAGCAAGGGGCTGGGGTTGTGGCTCAGTGGTAGAGTGCTCGCCTAGCACAAGCGAGGCCCTGGATTCGATCCTCAGCACCACATAAAAATAAATAAAATAAAGGTACAGTGTCCAACTACAACTAAAAAATAAATATTGGGGAAAAAAACAGAAGTGAGCAGAGACAAGGGACAGAGCTGGGCAAAAGGACCCTCTGGGAAGAGGGATCTTTGTCTGAAGATGAAAACAATGGAAGTTATGACAATGCTAACTTTGCCTTCTGTCATAACAAAGAACATAAGAGAGCAATTTCAATTCGATTCAGGAAAAAAATAAAACACTCCAAAATTGAAGTGCCCACCCAGGCAAAGACCTGGAGCTGTGTTATGCTCTGCCTCACAGAGCTCACGGCCCAGCAAGGAGGATGACAGTTAAAATCTGATTTCCAACGTGAAGCTCCCCAACCCTATAGTTCCAGCTTAGAGCCCAGCCCCAGGCCCCGAAGAGGGAGATAAATAAGTTGAGGAGTAAGTTAGGGCAACTGCCCTTGATCATTCAAATGTTTCCAGCCACCCTCGGATGCATTCTTTAAACTGGGTCATTCCTTTCCAACCATGGAGACATGGCTTCCAAAAACTATCAATTTATCCTTTATAAACTGCTCACACAGGCACAATATCAGAAAAAGAAAAATTCCTTTCATTCTCATCCAGGAAGAGCAGGGCTTCTTGCCCTTTGTAGTTACCTTTTCTGCTTCGTTTTCCCATATACAGCTCTCATTTGAGACTTAAAACAACTCTGCCAGGATGGTTCTTATCACAATTCCAAAAATCTGAAAAGCTCTAGAAAATAAAAGTATCTCAGTCCTGACCTCAGCTAAGGTTGCTTAAAGTCCTTTGGTTCTACTTGGTGTTGTTTGATTACCAAATGGAACCCAGCAGACTCTGCAGGCAGTGTTATGTAATACATGGTATGTGCATCCTATTACCTTTCTAGAATCCAACAAGCTATGTACTCCAGGACACATGTGGCCTCAAGGATTTTTTTTTTATAAATGTATTTATTAGTTTGTATACTGGGTATTGAGCTCAGTACTTTATCACTAAACCACATCCCCAGACATTTTTTTAATTTTTTATTTTAATTAGGATCTCACTAAGATGCTTATGGCTTCACTGAGTTTCTGAGGTTGTCCTTGAATTCATGATCCTCCAGCCTCAACTTTTCAAGTCACTGGGATTATAGCTGTGTACCACCAAGCCCTGCCAGCCCCATGGGTTTTTAGATGAGGATCTGACCCTAAGAGTTATGGAACTTTGCAACTCTCCTTTACATGAGATGAAGAAACCAAGTCTGAGAAACTATACTACCCAGATTGGCATGGATATTGCTCTTGATGGTCCAGCAAATGGGCAAACCTGCAGATGGTAATCACAACAGGAAGTGAGGTGATTAATTTTGAATTTTGGAAAATGTAACTGTATTGGTGATACAGAAGCTGTATCTGTATTGGGAATGGATGTCTTCAGGGGTCTCCAGCTGACCTTCACATGCATATATCTAACACATACCTTTCAATCCTTTCTTGACTAGGTCATTCAGGTGCATTTGAGGCACTGGCCACTCTTTTGTCCCTGAACTTCCTATGCCCTTGGGTTATTTGGACCCCATTCTTCCTAGCTTATCCTCCTCCCCTCTGTCTCTGTCCTGGTCTCCTCTGCCTCTCTGAT